AAATTAAATAATAATGCAAAATTAATATTAATTCAAGTTAAATAATGTTCAAATTAATAATACTAAACTTGCCACTTCAAAAACAAAGCTATTATTGTTAACAAAAAAGCATATTGCTATTGTATTATAATAGACATGAGGACAACAACAGAGACTCTAAGAACACAAAAGGGTGTCAATTACCTGGGTGTGAGACTGCAAGCTTACCTATTGGACACAAAATCCACACTTTGCGGGAAAGGTGTTTAAAATAACTTTTGAACTTAGCAGATTAATGGCAAACACCGGAGGGCCGAAACAAAAAAAAAAGCATTTGACATCGACCACACAAATGACTTGCTTTACGGAGCGGAGTTATGAGCAGACTCATTGAGGAAGAATAGCCGAGGTAAATGGATAAAGTGTATCGCACAGCTGTTCTGAGGAAAGTATCGGTATACCGTACAGTTTCTGATGAAGCTGTATTGGTAATAAGCGAAAGCAAGTTCATAGACTTACTAGCATTTGAAAGAAAGAAAATGTAGACGTTGAAGAAATAAAGAACGAATATCACCTCCACAAAAGAGAAAATGAGCTGATGCTATACGGACAAGGGTAATTTAGGAAATATCTATATAAAATGGGCAAAACCGAAGAGCTGCTTTGTATATACAAAGATGCGATCGGGTAACGAGAAAAACTAGAAGAACGTGACGAATCACATATAAAACGTAGCAGGGTTAAAAAGAAATTAAACCCTAACACAATTGGTATCATGAAAGTCTTAAAACCAGAAATATAGAACGCCAAAGGAAAGAAATGCGAAAGTGGTCTCAGAGTGGGCAACGGTTATGCAAAGAAAAGTATTTTAGTGACCTGGAAGTGGCACATACCATTGCTGTGACGATACGATAATGACGCTGAAGTCGTTTCTATTCTCCCCTTAACATATAAATATAATTTATTGAATTATTTTAACGAATAGGTAATTAACATAAAAAAGCACAAAAAATGAAATAACCAAATATTTATTACATTAAAGTAACATTTTTATAATAAAAAAATAAAATAGTATATAATATGCTATGAAATGTATATTACTTACACAGGCAATAGCTCAAAAGACCATAAAAATTATATGTATCGATGAAAAATCCGAAAAATATTACAACAAATTTCCTGAAGTGCCACCAAAATAAAGTTTTGGGAAATATATTAACAACAAAATTTAATTCATCGGCACAAAAATATAGTGAGGTACCAAAATTTTCCAGAATAACACCATTATTTAAGGGGCTAGACCATTCTAGGATTTTTAAAATATCTATGTTTTTAGCTTAAAGTATGTTTTAGGGTCTTGAAAATATTATTCAATCGGTAGAATAAAAAATGTTACCTGTACAATCCTATGCGGTGTCGAAGCGTTCGGTTCATTCGGTTCATTCATTGCAATCGTTTTTTGTTTTCGAAACTGAATTTTGCAAATCGGTCGACAATTGCACTCGCAGAGTATTGTATGTATTAACTTTATATTGTAACTACTAAGTAACATTGTTTACAAACTACGCGCGGTTTTTTATTAACACTTATATTTTATAATAACTTACCGTTCATTTTTTCGGTAAAAAATTATTTTTAAATTTTATTAAAAATATTATTTTTTTTACAAGTCAGCCATTTTGTGCAAACACACTTTACTCACTTTATAAAGATTTCAGGCTCGTGTTTTATTTGTTTTCAAATAGTATTAATCCTTAGGACCACCGTTGTCCATAGAAACTCTCTTGAAAAATCTGATTCAGTTGGTTCACCCAATATCCTTCATTTTGTACCGAAATATTAATATAAAAATTGTTTTCACAAACTCTAAAATTTGTTAAATAAAGCTTCGAAGAAAGAAATTCGGTTTCTCTTTTCTTACTCCCAGAATAATATATCAGCGTTGGGCCTTCCTTTATTTCATTATGAAATAGTTTCCAGACCTTGATTGCTAACAAATGGCGGGAGCATCTGATATTTGGCAGATTCTCAACCTAATTTTTTTCTTACTTTATTCTTTTGTAAATAATCTTGGACTGAAAATATTTAATTTTTATGAAATTAAAGAATCAGCATGACGATTCCAGCCTTTTTCACCTCCAAAAAATATGTTCGAGACATTTTTTTAGGTATGCTCATTTTTTATAAAGAAAATGGGTTCCTCACAAAATAAAATATATCTATCAGAAATATGAATCAAAATTTTTATTGATAAACAATTAGGTCAACAATTTCCCATTTATAACGTCTAGTATATTACAAGTATGTATATATCGTATATACACACTCGTATGCATGCAACCATCAACATTTTGCTAAAATTTCGAAATTTCACTGCGAAAATCCCCAAAATGTCTTATGACATTGCAATGCACTTGAATAACAGACCCTCAAATGCATATATGTGCATACATATACATATGAAATTGCGAAATATAAAAATATATATGTATTTATATATACAAGTATATGCAAAACCCCATAAAAGCAATGTCAAATTAAAATGCAACTGCAATTCTCGCTGCACTCGTTCCACGTCTTTGATGAGAAAAACCATTTCTGTAAGTTTGCAACACATTGCGGCAACTATTGGACTGTGTTGTGCTCTGCATAATTTAACTGTGCCGAAGCATAAAAATGCAATAAATTGTCTGTCTGTTATGAATCAATATGGATGAGGGACAAATGCCAGTGGAGCACAAGCCCGAGAAGCGTCAAAATGAAATGAAAATGAGCCAATCAAAAGGCGACTCATAAGCAGCCGATTGACAGTTAGAGTAAGCAAGCGATCGCTGCAACAGCAATGTGCAACGCAATAAAAATGACAATAATAATAAAAGCAGTAGCTTGCAAAGCTGTCAATTAAGCTGCGACAATGTTGCTTTGTATGGCATTAATATTATTATATTTTGTTGTTGCACTTATTATTATTGCTGCTGTTGATGACTCCGATAGCTGTGATTGCCACTGTGCGTGGAATGTTTGTCAAGTAGCTTTAAAGCGGCAATTAAAGCATTGCAATAACAAAAACATACACACAGCTACCAACAACAAGAAGAAACACCGGCAGCAGCAATACGCAGCGTCACGTATGCAAAACAACTTCCAAGCAGATTATGGCCGCTGATGATGTTGTTGAGATTGATGATGTTTGACTGAACGTAGGTGAGTTTGCGCCAAACAGGTTGCTGGTGGCTGCCAGCTGTCTGTTGTTGTTGTTGACGCGGTGTCGGCGTTAGCCACTGGTGGGCGTGCTGTGTCAGCGTGGCATCACACTTGATTTAAAATAACAAAAAAAATAAGTAAAGAAATAATAAAAGAGTCACTAAAAATATTAAAGAGCCATAAACACCTAACAATTGTGGTAATTTAAAAATATGATTATATTATTTATTGCTTCTTGCAAATATCCCGACTTCCAAGCACAGAGGAAGTCTTCACGATTTTAACTCAAATTGTGGTGTATTTTTATTTAAGAAAGACATATATTCTTAAACGGAGAGCAGACATTGATAGCTGTGATATGTGAGCAATATGATTCGAAGCTAAAACTATTAGTTAATATAGTACAACCAAATACCAAGCAATTTAACAATTTTTCGTAATCGATAAGACTTTTTGAAACTAGGCGTCGAACCAAACCAAAAAAACGGAGAACATCATCTCACCGGTCGATGGGCTAGCTTTCGCCTTCCTCGGAGCAGGTTCGCTAAGAAAGTTCACTGTTTCGACTCTTCCTTGACCTGTGTGTGTATCAATGGCGTATCATGTTTCGTCGACGCTAGCATAATGTCACTGAAACTGCTTCAGATTGCGCTTAAACAATGTCAAATAGTGTTGTAAAATGGTCTTACGAACTTTTGAGATGCCTACTGTCTCAGATATCTCGTAAGCGAAGTCATCTCTTAAACTTAGGGAAATCTACTCTCCAATAATTGACATTCTAAGATACTTAGTAAGTTCCCATTTCTTTTCAGTAACACGGATTTTCGAAATCCTTTAGAATTAAACTTAAATAGGTGAAAGGGTTGAGGTGGACAGATATACAGGGATAAGTATCTACTTGTATACGGATAGCACCAGACTACATAATCGAGTGGAAAGTGGTGTCTTTTCAGCAAAATTAGAAACCAGAATCGGCTTCCGATAACCAGTCAACTGCAGTGTCTTTCAAACGGTGATCACATCAATTAGAGAAAGTATTCTTGTTCTGACAAAGAAATCACTCACAACAAGGAAATTATCCATATATACCTATATATACAGATAGCCAAGCGACTTTGAAATCACTAAAGTCTTTTAGGGTTTCATCAAAGATAGTGAAAGAAAGCTATGATCTCTTGCTGAATCTAACATCCTATTTCACGATAAATCTGCAATTGATTCCAGGATATAATGATATCCCTAGTAACTGTGTAGCAGACGAACTAGTCAGAGCAGGCACCACCCTACAATTAGGGTCCGAAAAAGAGAGAATTTATATGCCGTTATATTATATAGAATATATTGGAAATTACGTACTGTACCAAACTCGCTAATATTATAATTTCTCGGGGAAAATACAAGTTATATGTATAATTTTTTAAATTAATTTTTCAAACTGTACACCCTTAATATATTATATTATTGAATTGAAGTGAAATGTTACAAACAAACGAAACAACTCTAATGTGTATAAGTGAACGTGAAAAGCACTACGAATATTTTGCACACAATCAAGTAACGCCAGCCAACTTCATTCGAAATTCTTCCTGCCTAGAAATTCTTTCATAGTTCCTCTGGCATATTCGGTGTTCTTTTCGTACTCATTTATAAAAAATTGCCTAACGATGTCTAACTAAGAGTTTTACTCTATATATAGAAGTATTAATTTGAATTGAAAACTGCCAGCACGGCTGTTATGGAACATTTTCGTAATATTTTACACTTTTATATTTACAAATTTAAAAAAAATATATTTCCAATTCGTTATAAATTTCCAGATGCCAATAAAAAATCACCAATGCCCACAGTGACGCCAATACAAGGGCCGATATTCCTGAAAAATGGTACGGCGCCAGTGGTACCGTTATTTTCGTATCCCACACTCAACAACGGATCGTTTGTACAAATACCGGTAAGTCAAAAAAGTTTATAAAACAGCAACCCATGTATACTCCATATGAAGCAGTGAGATTTCTCTAAAATATGAAAATAATATAATAATATTTACTATTTGTAAATAAATTTTTAACTGTTTAAATATAATATTAACTCTATGAAAATACCTTCTTCACAAAGCACACGAGAGTTGGCGCACGTTTTTAACATACCGAGACTCGTTTATCCGGTACATGTGTATGTATGTGTGTTTATTATAAATGTGTTTTTATTATAAATGACATTTAAAAGGCGTTAGAGCAGTTCAATAGTCGATATTCCGCATAATTTGCATATATGATAAATGTGCAGATAATTGTCATTAGTTAATGGCCAATGAGGTGATCTATTTATACATATATGGTTCATAAAACACACTAGTCAACAAAGATTTGCAGTATTTGAAAATATTCACATAAGTGCAAGAAAAATTTTGATTACTCAGAGTAATATTTTTAAATTTATTTTCGTAAAAAATAAAAAAAAAATTTAAATCGATTTCTTCAACAAAAATATATTATAAATATAATATATGGTAAATATCGAATTTATCGATTTATTTTTAGTTAGTTTTAGTTTAAGTTTTGTATATTTTTAAAGATTTAAATTTTTTCAATGATTTTGATTACTTATTGTAAAACACTGCTTTGTTTAGCTTTGCCATTATTTGATTTTTTATTTTTGTAATAATTAATATATTAGAGGAGTTATTACAATATTTATACATATTTAACATAGTGTAATACATAATCCAGTTTGACAGTTCTGAAGGCCGAAAATATCTACGTCTCTTTTCCCATTAGTTTCGCTTATATTTTAAATAATTTTAAGTTATTATTGTTATTGTTTAATATGCAAAGTAACTTTTTATAATATGTTAAAGGCACAGAACATCTGAATTCTATTATGTAAATGTGCATAAAAGCGAATTTGTGTATAAAAAAAAATGAAAAGAGATAAGTATTGCAGATATTTCATAACCATATTTATTAGGCAAACAAATCGATATACAAGCTGATTAAAAAGTTTCTGCGATCGAAATGAAAAAATACTGCTTTTCGTACGAAATATATTTTTTTATTCAATATAATCTCCCTTAACTTCAATACACTTATTCTAATGATCCTCCAATGCCATCGCTATAATGACTTTCCGGAAGCTCTGCAAAATACCCATCTACGGCTGTAAAAGCTTCTTCATTCGATGAAAAGCGCTTTTCACGAAGGAATTGTTTCAGGTTTCTGAAGAGGTAGTAGACGCTGGCAGCCAAATCTGGTGAACACGGTGGATGCTCAAGCAATTCGTACTTTAATTCGTTAAATTTTGTCATTGTTAAAACACCTTTGTGAGCAGATGCATTGTCTTAATGAAAAACTAATTTTTCGTGCTTCAAACCAGGTGTTTTCTTACGAATTTTTTCATCCAGCTGATTCAAAGGCTCCAATAGTTCAGAGTAAATATTCAGAGTTGATTGTTTTACCTTTCTGCAGCTAATTAATCAATAATATTTCTTATGCATAGCACGTCACGTCAACTTCAAATGGCTTGTAAACAAAGACTTCATTGACAAAATAACTTGTAAATTTGCATGTGTTCTCAAGTAATTAAAAAATTTAATAAGAATATTCTACAAAATTTTTCCCAACTTTAAACTTTTTTGAACCTCTACATTTTAATACACATTTTACTGATTTCTACCAGCACAATTTTTTTGTCTAAAATCGGTGATAACTTTGTAAATTTCATTGTTTTTTATTCCAAATATATAATATTTTCAAATCTTTCTGGCAATTTGTGGATTCCACCCCAAAAAACACCGCGCCAGTTGGCGACCAAGAATGCATCAAGCAAATTTTTTATACCCTGTACTGATGTGAACGGTGTGCCAGTGGGGGCATACTGGATCGACCGTAACAAATGGTAGTCAGAAACGGCAAGGTCCGGGCTATAAGGCGGATGAGGCAGAACGACCCAGCCGCTGTTTTCTAAATAACTTCTAAGCAGTCTTGCAACAAAAGGCCGAGCGTTGTCATGATAAAAATTGATTACCTATTTTCATTTTCATTCATTTTGTTTCAATGTTATGAGTTGTTATCGGTAGCGTTCCCCATTCATTGCTTCAGCCGGTTTTAGAAGCTCCTATATATTGTACGCTTTTCTGATCTCACCAAATACAGAGCATTACCTTGGTGTCTTGGATATTCGGCTTTACCGTTCATTTGGCTGGTTGGCCAGGTTTCACTTATGATTTTTTTCGTTTAGGTTTGTCGTAATTAATCTATTATTCATCAACAGTCACAATAATAGAACGACTTATTTTTGTAGCTTTCAAATTGCATTTTTGACATGCGAATCGTCTTTCCCTCTTTCATGGCTTCAACTCATATGACACACAATTTTGTTTCTGTTTCTGAAACGATTTGCAACCTCTTTTTGTGTTTGGCAACAATCTTCAGTGATCTTCAAACTTCTTAGGCAGCCTAGAACGTTTTTCGTCTTCCAAGCCAAAATCACCATTTTTAATAGCGCGAACAACGAGGTTTTCTTCATATTAAATAGTCCTTTATTAGTTTTGAAGAAATATGGGCCTACAAACCACACCAAACCGTTGTTTTTTCTAGATGAAATGGTTGCTCTTCGTCCCAAATGTGCCAATTTTGCTTGTTTACATACCCAATGAGACATAAATGGACTTCATTGCTGAACTCATAGAGCGAATTGGTCAATGACCGACCACGCATACGACGGCAGACATGTCTGGGGACAAATATGATGCAGACAGAATGCGAAAGATGTGTGTATTTTTATAGCAGAAAGTGTGAATGCAAAAATACAATAAAAGGGGAAAGTAATTTAAAAATAAGCAAGAAAAAAATTGTTTGAAAAGATTTTCTAAATTAAATAAATTAATGAAAATTAAGATTTATGGCAAAATTATTTTAAAAAATAATTGATATGTGTAAAAGAATTGATTGCGCAGCGGAAAAAACAAAAATAAATAATTGTGAGTTTGTTTGCTGACATATGGCGCATAAATCAAACGGTGGAGCGCCAGCAGGTGTTGAGCGTGAATCAATTGAAAAAGGGTAAAGGCAAATAAATCATGGGAAGTTGCAAAAATGAATAGGTAGTAATTAAGAAGGATTAAACGACATACGCTTCTTTTCAACGGCACGCGCACAACAATAACACCAACAAGCTGTTGGTGCTGCGCATGTGCACGTCACACAACTGAAAAAGCGCATATCAATTATATTAAATAACACGCTAAGCAGCCACAATAAAAGCGAGATTTGTGACGAAATTCGTTTTAAGAATTTTGAAATTAATATCAAAAGCATTGCACGAAGGTCAATAGCCAAATCACAATGTTAATATTCTCAAAATCAAATGGAGCGTTAAGCAGCAACACCACATAGTTTATTGTTGTTGTTTCTGTTTTTGTTATTTTTATGATGCTGACACTTTTATATTGTTCTCATTTTCATTTTAAATTTCTATTAAATTTTATTGTTATTTAATAAATTCTTCTTTGCGGCTCTTGTGACACTGTCCCAACTCGCCACGCTCCTCTTAACGCAGTTTCTGTATGTTTTTTTTTTTATATTAATTTTTAAACTTTTTGCAAATTTAAATAAACGCGCTTCTTCAGCACATTGCGGTATCTATGGGCGACCTTCATTTATCACAACGGCGAGCTCGTTTCCGCAAACGTTGAAATGTGTTCGATATAAACGGACACCTGTTGTGATGATAGAGGGAGAGAAGGGATCCAAGAGCAGTAGGTAAAAGCACCACGAATTCGCTCTTAACTTGAGCAAATGCAAAAAATATGTATTTTTGATAAAAGAAAAACGTGCGTGTTAAAAATTGATGTAGGCTGATTTTAATAATGATTAAAAGGCATTTGGATAGTTTTATAAATATGCGTGAAGACTGGAAGGTGATATTGTAAAAAAAGCCAAAACAAATAACAAACAACAAAGAAATTAAGATAAAAGCTTTAAATTTGGCAGCTAAATGCTATAGTGATTCGATTTGAACAATATATTTGGTTTCATGAAGATATTTCGTCACTTGTTTTCCATACAAGGACAAACTGATCGATCAAATTTTGTATGGCAGCTACCATTTATGCTATGATTGTCCGAACATTTGTTCGGAGATTGTAGCGATGCCTTGAATAATAATGTATGCCAAATTTTGTGAAGATATCTTGTCAAATAAAAAAAATTCCATACAAAATTTTGATTTAGATCGTTCAAATTGTATGGCAGCTATATGCTATAATGGTCCGATCTGAACAATTGGAACGAAGATTGTACCATTGTCTTAAACATAAACCCATGTCAATTTTCGTGAAGATATTTCGTCAAATAAAAATGTTTTCCATACAACGACTTGGCTTTGATCGTTCAGTTTGTATGTCAGCTATATGCGATAGTAGTCCGATATCAACGATTACAACAAATAAGTAGCCCCTTGAGGAAAAAGGAACGTATACAAAATTTCAGATCGATGCCTCACAAACTTAGGGCCTAGTTTGCGTATATACAGACATACGAACATGACTAAATCGACTCAGCTCGTCACGCCGATAATTTATGGTATATATGTATAGGTATACTTTATAGGGTCTCTAACATTTCCTTCTGAGTGTTACAAACTTTTTTTCAAACCCCTCCACCTTATTATTTATTATTTTTGGAGATCCTCCACCTTATTGGAAGCTTGAATAGCCATAGCTCGCCTAAAACGTAATTTAAAAATGTTTCAAACTTCTTTTTTAGATTCAAGAACCGTTGTCAAAAAATTCCCTGAATTTGACTTTTACTAAATCTCAGAAAAGACATTGAAAAGCTATTTTAGCATATCTAATGTTTAATTCTAGTAACTCCAATGTAAAACGCACTAAAACCTCTAAGAATCACTTTCCAAGAATTTTCTACAACCTTATGATTAGTTCAATCGATTGCT